TATCCATGCTTCAAGCTCATCTATCTTCTGGAACGAACTCTGTGCGTTCTTATAAAGAAATGGGGCTTTCGCCTGAAGAGATTTTTGAGCGAGTTACGCTTCGGGGTAGCCAGAAATTTCATGCGGTTTATATAATCTTTTGTCAGAATCTTAGTCTGCTGGTTGTTGGTCACAGTAGAAGTCAGTGTGTTGATCATCATTTTCCCAGAATTTCTTGGCAGATAGGAGCGTTCGGTCACCAGTATTTTGACACTCGTAACGCTCAACGTTATTGGGTGTGTCCAGAGGAATGACCTCTGGGTAGTTATTATTTCCCCATTCAACATTCTTTGGTTTGTCTCGTTCGCACTGGATCTCATGAGGTGTTGGTTTTCAGTTCCCTCCACTTCTTCCACTCGGTTGGTCGAGTGAGCGCTTAGGCGTGCCGGTTTTCTGTTCAATAATAAATTTTATACTTAAGGCCCAAGGGGCCTTTCATTGCAAACTTAGTGCTATCGTAAAAAGAAAAAAATACAAAATTGGTAATCACAGCTGCGCGTGAGCAATAGTATGACAACAAGAATAAGTAGTATGTTACGCGTGGTAAGATGGTAAGTTAAATCCGATTAACAACGAACTCTCTTATAAAATAGTGGTCTCGGCAGTAAAAAAAACACCTACATCGGTGGCTGAGTTCAACGTGCCACCGATTTCCAAAAAAATGTAGGAGAAAAGAACTGCCTTAGTAGGTAGCATGGTATGACATGATGCAGTTAGATGTGATCATGCTGTTGAGGGTGCGGGACGCTTATTGTCATGGGTCATCCAGGACAACAGGATCGCATCGAGGAGAAGACAGTAGAAGTCAAGGCAACATCACCGAGATGCGACCCACCAGACTCCAGAGTCCACCGATAGTTTGGCGATAACGTAGGAACGCGCGATAACCATCAATAGCGACCTCAAAGACGACCACCAAGGTTGCAAAACGGAGAATAGTTTGCAGCATTTGAAAATGATGCTTAACTCAGACTTTAGAGTACACCAGCGAGTTGGCGACAACGTAAAGGCCCGCGATGATCATAAATAGCAACTGGTAACAGCACTTTCTCTTCACTTTGGAGAGCAGACTTGGCGGCTTGGTTTGGCTCGCATCTTCCCTTGAATCTTTCTTTTAACCCATCCTAAAGGCTTTTAAATCCGAGATCTCCACGTTTCCATTTAGGTGAGTTTTTAGGTATTGCTGAAACAATTCCATATCATGGCGTATTCTCTTCTCTGGGATCTCTGAGCAGGTTGAGACATGCCTTTTATAACGAAGTAAAGGAGCTTTCTGTTTGTTTTTATATCCCTAGAATACTTTGTGCCAATTTATCTTATCACCATCGGTTGATGCAGAGACAACTGCCGTTGCATGGCTACCTCCCGCTTCCTCGTTTACGAAGATAGCTTGATCATGGGACATCTCATTATGTAAAGTGGTATTTGCTGAAATTGTGTGCTACCTCTCCTTCATCGTCCTGAGACTCGGGCTTGCTTTGTTTTGGGGAATTGCGTTGGAAGTTTTATCGCGTTCTGTGTGGTGTAACTCATTTTTCGTTTGATCGTCTTAACCTTTTTTGGCTTCTGATATTTCTGTTTTTCATCCTATTTATCGGCTACACTTAACTCTGTAGACGCGCTGCCATTTTCCTCGACGTTTATCAACGTTTTATGAGAGCGGTCACTAACTGCATTTGCTATTGAATTTCGTGCCACTGTAACCTATTTGCCCAGCCAAATTTCCTCTGAGCAGTGCCGGGCTGAAACTCCTTCTGGGTCGCCTACAACTTCAGGAAATTTGAGTGACGGTTGGCTTACCTGTAGGTGTTGTTATTACTGCTAATATATATCGCCAGCCCAGACTGCGGACTACGCAGATCACACACCGGATTTGGGTGCTATGGTTGCTTGGCAACAAACAGACAACGTAGAAGATTTTCTGATAAGAAGTTCGCTAAACATGTTCTTTCTTGTTTCTTGGCTCCTCTGACTGTATCCGGCAGTAACTCGTACGTCAAACCCCAGTGATAACAACTGCGAACGTAGTACGTACTATTAAACAAATAGTAAAGGATCAAGGAAGTACGAAACTTAACAATGGATATACACAGTCACGAACACGAGCCAAGTCGCCTTACTCGAGACAACAAAACAATGCACGTTCAACAACGCAACACGGGTGCAGGTTGATGCCAGACTGGCGAGAGTGGGTGTGTTGCAAAGGGGAACGACCGCTGTTTTTATGTGACTTCAGGGGTCAGTTCACGTGGCATCCGATTGGTGTGAAACACCAGCGCGAAAGGGGGCTTGTGTACAAGGGGTTCATAAAGAATAAGGAGGAAAGGAGTGTTCGAGTGGTTCTCGGAGCAGCCGCGACTGTGTTGAGATTGTTCAGTCAACCAAACGCAACAACTGCATATCAAACAATAGGGGGAAAAGGTGGAAAGCTGGCTTTTCGCCAAAAAGTCACGTCACGATTTTTCATCTCCTCGAGTCAAAACAACCGCCTTTTGAAGCTACGGAGGGGGGTTAAGAGCATTGGGGGGAAGAATAATTAAAACAAGGCTGTGGAACGAGGCAGGGGAATTACTCAAGCAATATTTTTACCGCGTGAATATTTTGAGCCCCGTGCGCATTCGAGTGAAAATGGGTCTGGAGTGGAGGATGGCTAGCATTCTGAGGGGAACAGATTCCATGAGCACGTAGCACGGCTTTTGGAATAAGGGAACAATCGTTTGATGGTTGGACGGGCTTTCATTGGAGGTGGAGGTGGAGAATTTCAAACTTGTTCAGCCGAATATAACACTGGTGGATACGATGCATTAATGGATGACGCAAACAAATCTACGTATCGATTTTGGATATTATTAACATAGTTCCTAAGGATATATTAATACGTATCACAAACATATATCTAGAGAAATGCCTATTCACGTATCACAACTCGATACTTGCTGCTACTAGTGCATGAGTTGTTGAAAAGCCTATTGTGGTTTGTAAAGCGTCCACTCAGTAACTACCCTAATATTCACTATTTTATCAGCTTAACTTTGAAACAAAACAGGTTCGTGACCATTGCATTCTCTTCGGGATTTATAGATATATCTTTACTAGTGGTAAGAATTTTGAGATCAGTATTAATGAAAACGGAACAGGGATTTCAGTGACAAACATATGTGCAGTAATTATGGGCTCTGGTGAATTTTTCCGATTGCATACACTTTCATTCTGCTGGCTCGTTCATGGTTTCGTTTTTAGCCAACAGACCCTTATGTCTGCTTGATCAACCCCATTCTTAGTTGACGTATATACAATCACCAATCTAACCCTTCATTGCTCTCTCCCGTAGCCTCCCAATTTATGGCTTTCTTCAAAAAACACTACTTAATTTATTGGGTGCAGTTAAGAGTAACCCCTTGCAGAAATATATGCTAATACTTTGCACTCGGTCTACTGATAACGAACAGGCTGTTCTGGAATTTTTCACCTTGACGTTTGCGAGTACATATGTCAATGGGTTATCCTCGACCCTATTTGGTGCATAGGCTGCACATCCAACTCACTGCCAGGATACCTGAGAAGTTGTCCCATTTTTACAGACAGTTGTAGTGTTTTTTTATTGATCGCACCTACTTTTTACTTACCTCTTGGAAAGCCATTTTAACTACGATTTGTCTATCTGCCGTTGGTTCAGGTATAAGTTCATATGAACTTCGTTTCTTTGAAATGTTATGACATTTTTGTCGCGAAATGTGAGCGCAAATGCGCACCCAAAAATGCTCCGGTCGCGAAGGCATCTTAGGGGTTTCTCATTATACGAGTTTTAGACATCTCAGATCGAGTAGCTTACAAAATTTCTGGGTTTACAAACTACAAAAGTGCTCCTGAAGTGGGGCTGTCTAGTCAGTCAGTCAACTGACTGGTCGTGTTGAGCGTAAGTGTAGTGTAGTATCCAGAGAACAATGAGATTGATCCTTGTTTTAATTACTTCGGCGC